ATTTGCATTTTGCTTCACTTGAATTTAATTACACCTTCCTTGATGGTCTTTTTCTCTTTGATTATCACTTTGACAACGTCAAACTTTTGTTTCAGAGATAAATTTCTCACTCTTGCCCATGGCTGTGAAGGAATAAGCTTTTTAAAAAAGGAAATAAGTTCTTGTAAAAGTTAAGGAATTTATGATCTTTTCAAAAATGTGAATATCTGAAACAAAAATGAAAACTGTCAACATAACTTTGTGATAAAGTTAGCACACTTTAATAAAATATTTAAGAAAAAAACGCATGAGAAGAATGTTTTTGCTTTTGTACACACATTGAATGTGTTAAGTTGTGAAATGATTCTCTGTTTTTGGGTAAAACAAGAAATTTTGAAGGAAATGAAAGTGGATTTTGAAAATTGTAATAACGTATATCAAAATTACAAATAGCTGAGTGAAAACTAAAAATTAAAGATAAGGAGAAGAGTAAAAACTCAGTACAAAAAAAAGTATGCTTTGCTAGATTTTAATGAAAATAACGTTATTAGTATCTCTTACCTTCTTCCAAATTTATGGATGTTCTTTGCTGGAAAAAATTTACAGGCAAAAAATTTTTTAAAAAAAGGCAAAAATGGGAAGATAGGTATACTCAGAGAACAGCAGTGATGCACAGTACGTACTCACAGGAACAATGCAAAAGACAGTGGAAGACTGAGCCTTCATCTCTGACTCTTGTACTTCTTGGAGCTATTTCCAGCTTTCGCATCTGTACTCCCTATATTCGGGTTGCAATACCAATAATTTTCTGATTCCACCTGCGTCTGGCAGGTTCCAGCTTTCAGAGAATATTTATTAGGCTGAAGTAATTGTTTCAGTGGAAAATATTTGAGTTTTCCTTCTCTGACAGGTTTCTGCCTTACACAGGTTCTGGGCTTTCACAGGCTTTACTGTACTACCAACAATGATAATATAAGTAACCACAATTCATTGAGCATACTATGTGCCAGACACTATGCTAAGCATTTCATATATGTCATCTCATTTAATTTTTACAATAACCCTGCAAGAAAAGTTTATGATGCCCATTTTACTGATGGAGAGGCTGAAGCTCAAAAAGGTTAAGCACAAAGCCTGTGGCAAAGCTAGGTCTGTCCCTGGAGTCTTTGTTCTTTCTATTATATCATAGTAATTTTCTTTTTTCCCTAGCCGGTCTCCCAGATTTCTCAGAATCCGCCCCCCGCCCCAGTCTCTGGGCACAGGTTCTCCTTTGCTGTTAGGTATACTTACAGAAAAGTTTGAGTAGCACTTCTCTAAAGCCACCACTTTATCATTTCATCTTTCATCAGAATATACTTTCCCATTGTTATGACACCGACTCTACAGCAATAGCCTGAGTTTAATATATGGGTATATGGTTTTATATGTATGAGAGAAAGAATACTTTAAAAATTGCTTAGGTACTTCACATTTTCATTAGTTTATTAATCTCTTTTCTTACCAAAGTTTTCAAGGTTAGGCATTAAGTCAGGGCATTTCAGCTGTTCTCACTCATCTTTTTCTCTCAACTTGGCTTTTTTTTTTTCAGAGTTTGAATTCTTATACAAATGGAGCATATGGCCCACCGTACCCTCCTGGCCCTGGGGCAAATACTGCCTCATACTCTGGGGCTTATTACACACCTGGATATACTCAGACCAATTACTCCACAGAAGTTCCAAGCAGCTATCGTTCACCTGGCAGCAGCCCAACCCCAGCCTCTCGTTGGATGTATCCACAGCAGGACTGTCAGACTGAAGTGCCCCCTCTCAGGGGACAGGTTCCAGGATATCCTGCTTCACAGGTAATCAGTTTTCTTTTGGGAAAAAATCAAAGTCTCTGCCTCTTGAATTGTAAACAATGGAAGCATATCTATTTACAGTAGTGCTGATTAAGAAAACATTCTCTAAAAAGGATATTCAAATGGTCAACAAGCCCACTAAAAAAAAAAAGCTCAATGTCATCAGCCATTAGAGAGATGCGAATCAAAACTACAATGAGATATCACTTCACTCCCACTAGGATGGTGTCATGGATTGAATTATGTCCCCCAAAAATGTGTGTATCAATTTGGCTGGGCCGTGATTCCTGGTATTTTGTGATTTTCCTGTATGTTGTACATCCTGCCTCTATGATGTTCATGAGGGAGGATGGGTGGCAGTTGTGTTAGTGAGGCAGGACTCAATCCACAAGATTGGATTGTGTCCTGAGGCAGTCTCTTGAGATAGAAAAGACAGAAGTGAGCAGAGAAACATGGGGGACCTCATACCACCAAGAAAGCAGTGCCAGGAGCAGAGTGTGTCCTTTGGACCTGGGGTCCTGGTCAGAGAAGCTCCTAGTCTGGGGGAAAATTGATGAAAAGGCCAACAGAGAAAGCCTTCCCCTGGAGCTGACACCCTGAATTTGGACTTTTAGCCTACTTTACTGTAAGGAAATAAACTTCTCTTTGTTAAAACCATCCACTTGTGGTATTTCTGTTATAGCAGCACTAGATAACTAAGACAGATGGCGAAGATTTTTAAAAAATGGAAAATAACAAATGTTGGCAAGGAAGTGGAGAAATTGGAACCCTTATCCAATGCTGGTGGGAATGCAGAATGGTACAGCTGCAAAGGAAAACAATTTGGTGGTTCCTTAAAAAGTTAAACACAGAACTACCATGTGACCCAGCAATTCCACTCCTAGTGTATACCCAAGAGACCTGAAAGCAGCAACACAGACACACGTACACCAGGGTTCAATGCAGTATTATTCACAGTAGCCAAAAGGTGAAAATAACCTAAGTGCTGTCAATGAATCAATGAACAAAATGTGGTGTATATTATTCAGCCATAAAGAGAAACGAACTTCTGATACGTGTTATGACATGGATGAACCTCAAAAACCTTATGCTGAGTGAAACAAGTCAGTCTCAAAAGGACAAATATCGTACGATCTCACTTACATGAAATGACAAGAATAGGTAAATAGAGACTAAACTATATTGTGGCTACCAAGGGTGGGAGGGAGGGGAAGGCGGGAGCCATTATTTAGGAATCAATGAATGTTTATGGTGATGGGAAATTTGACAGTGAATATGGTGGTTGTACAACATGATTAATGTAATTGATATCAATAAATTTTACGCCTAGAAAATGTTGACTCGGCAAATATTGTTATATACCAATCCTCACCTGTTGACATGGTTAGGTTAGGTTAGGTTCCAAAGACCAGGTTGTTATGTGAAAATAGATGTCATGTGAAAATGGAGGATGACCACATCAGATCACAAAATGGAAAGTGACTACATCATTATATAACTGCCAAATTACATTATTACATAACTGCCAAACCACTGAGAATCATGGCCCAGCCAGGTTGACACATAAGCATCACAGCCAGCGTTACTCTCGCCTTGCAGCTCAGTGTTTGTTACTGCCAGGCATCATTAATGCACAAAATAGTCGGATAGTAGGTAGTATATTTTTTACTGTTGTCATAAATGCAAAATGTCAAATAACAAGATAGTCGATAAGTGAGGAGTAGGTGTATATATTTTTAAAACAATAAAAAAAAAAAAACACTTCAGATGTTTAGTGGTTATTCTCGAGGTGATTGGGAAGACAAAGACTAATTTTATATTGATACCTTTCTCACTCATAGGAACTATTCTAGTGAATGGATTTTGGCTGAGGAGACCTTGGGATATCATAATCATAAAAAATGTTATACTAGAAGAAATTTTTAGAGAGTTGTTGCCTTGAAAGTTTCCTTATCTTAGCCTTTTTAATGCTTTGTTAGGTTTATATTTTTTAATATTCTATGAATAATATCATATTTATTTCTGTTTACTTCAAGAGGAGTTCTAATATGTCTTTATTTGTGCTTCCTTATAGCATATGGGTCCACTTATTTACAGTATCCATGGGACAGACTTGTTATGCTTTAGCCATTGAATTTCAGGCCTTATTTCTTCTGATAGTTACCAAATCTAGTATCTTTAGAGTCAAGTTATCTTGACCTTGGTGAACTTAAAGCAACTGATTTGAGTTGGTACAATTTAGCCCAGTGGCAGCTAAAGTATACTCTGAGCGTTTCAGAATCTGTCTGTACTAGAATATTTTTATTACTTAAGGTTTTTCTTTTTTTTTTTTAAACAATCACCGGCATATTTTCTTCCATCTCAATCTAGAACCCTGGAATGACCCTGCCCCATTATTCTTATGGGGATGGTAATCGTACTGTTCCACAATCAGGACCAAGTGTACGACCACAAGAGGATGCCTGGGCTTCTCCTGGTGCTTACGGAATGGGAACGCGCTACCCTTGGCCTTCCCCTGCACCCTCAGCACCACCTGGAAATCTCTACATGACTGAAAGTACTTCATCATGGCCTAGCAGTGGCTCTCCTCAGCCACCTCCTTCACCACCACCCCAGCAATCCAAGGTAGGAGACCTTCTAAACACTGTTCCTTTGATGCTTGGATAATTAAGAGAGCACAACATGGAACTTTTCTGCATTGGTCTGGGTCAAATGGGAGCTAACTGCAAAAAGTTGATGACTACTACCTATAGTTTTACCTCAGCCCAATTTCTTTTTTATTAAAAGATAGGAAAGTGCTCTTTTTCTGTTGGTTGTAATACTATCTGAATGTTAAATACAATCAAAGATTACATTTTGCTACCTCAGATAATCTGCAGACAAAAGACAAAAGCAATGTGAAGTATCTATAGTATTAGTTTGTATGGTTTAATTTTAAATTAGACCGTATACTTGAACATCATCTGCTTGTGGCTGGGTACTTTTTTAAGATCTGTCTTGAGGTTTTAACTCTCTAGGTGAAGAATATCTAATTCCTATTTATTAAGTCACTGGATAGATTGTGAGGTGGTAAGGATAGATTGTGAGGTGTTTATGATGATGATCTGCCTCAGGACAGATTCCAGCCATTCAGGAATTCTCTACCTTTTACTTGACAGGGCACGCCCTTGTATCTTTTTTATAATTGTGTTTTTTCTCAAATGATTAAGGAGAGAGGTCCAGTTTCATTGGTGGGTAATGTTTTCATGTGCCCTCCTGATCAGGTGAAAGATGTTGGTGGATCCCCATTAAAACAGATTTTCCCCGTTTGTTTTTCCACTCCAAGGATTCTTCATACACCTATATTCAATCAGATCAAGGCGTGAACCGGCATGGCTTTCCTTGCAGTGTCCATCAGTATGAATCTTCGGGGACAATGAACAATGATAATTCAGATCTTTCGGATTCCCAAGTCCAATATAGTGCTGAGCCTCAGCTGTATGATAATGCCACCAATGAAAATCCCAGCAATCAAGATCAAAGTAGTAATCATCCTGAAGAGCGTTTATCTTCAGATGAAGGTACTCCTCCAAGTATTAAAAAAATCATAAATGTGCTGGAGAAGGTCCAGTATCTTGAGCAAGAAGTAGAAGAGTTTGTAGGAAAAAAGACAGACAAAGCATACTGGCTTCTGGAAGAAATGCTAACCAAGGAACTTTTGGAATTGGATTCAGTTGAAACCGGGGGCCAGGACTCTGTCCGGCAGGCCAGGAAAGAGGCTGTTTGTAAGATCCAGGCCATACTGGAAAAATTAGAAAAAAAAGGATTATGAAAGGATTTAAAACAAAGTAGAAGCCTGTTACTATCTTGACCAAAGAACTCTTGATTGATTTTGGTTAATTACCCTCTTTTTGAGATGGCTGTTGATGACAGGAAGCATACATTCCAGCTTTCCTTTGATTTCAAACTTCGAAAACTGGCAAAGGACTTGGAAGAACATTGTAGTGATGAATTGTTTTCAGTTTTCAGACCAATGAATGTAATAGGAAACTATGGAGTTACCAGTATTGCTAAGTAGATTCACTCCTTTCCTAAGAAATTTATGGATATTTGTAAGCTGCTTCTTAGCAGCAGGAAAGAAATACACTTTATGTGAAGGGCTTATCAGAAACCTACTAGATGAGACTGGATATAATATGAGACAGACAGGCTCTGTTTTTTTAAATAGCTGGATCACTTGTTAAATTTTTGTACATTGTGACTGCATACAACATACACTTCGTGTGTAAATTACAGCTTGGACTTCAGCCTTCTTGGACCTCTGTTTT